TACTGAACATTTCAAATTTAAGACCAAATAAGATATGTTCAGCTACTGTCGCAGATCTGTAACGCTGATTTTAATTACACTTTGTTGTAACTTTTGCTTGATTCTAATCAAAATTATTCGCTAACATAACATACCCCCGCTCCCTATGTCAAAAAATTTTAATATTCACTATGATCAAATATGGCGGCTGAATAGCTGTTTACCTACAAACTCCTTCACAAGCGCGAAGCCGACACGGTAAGCAAACATGCTGTTATTAAAAATAACATCGATTTTTTGCTCAATGAAGAAATGAAGGTGGCATTTCATAAAAATGGTTATATTATAACACATACGCTTCGAATTCTGATGACATTTACTTCTGTTTTTAAAGTGTTTGTAGAGTTACTCGTAGTATATGTGTGTCGCGGGGAGCCTGAATTTGGACCATATGAGAAAGTTCGGACAGAGTGATACCACAGTATTACAGAAAACCGCATCTAAGCAATTCTTTCATAGCTTTTCAACGAGTGAGGTTACGGGAGACCAAACCTCCGTTCGTCCGTATGGTGACGGATTAAGAATACAGAGTGTCACCACCCCTATTCATCCCGTAGGTGTCGTAAGAGCCGATTAAGGGAGCAAAATACGCAGAACAACAGCACTTTTGTTGTCCTGCATAGTTACAACCACATTTGTTACTTGAATTTATTAATAAACAGTATTTTAGTTGCTCCTAAACGAGTTAGCTCTGTTTGCAGTACATCGTTTCCCTTTAAAATATAGTGCCAAAATATTTGAGGAAAATATTTCAAACTCTTTGGGTTTAGAACAAATGTTGTCGCACGGGAGTGCTCCTACACATGAAATTTATGATAAATCATACATTTGAACACGTTATATTGCCCAATATTTATTTATTATCGGGTTTTATAATACAAAATTATGTTTACAAGATTTAACGCGCTCGTGATAAGTATTAAGAACATTCAAGTGCAGTCTGAAGGCTAATTCTCGTTATAAAAGTTCTGTCAAAATTCAGTTTCGAATAACTCTCGATCTCGCAATTATCATAAAAAGTATTTTCATAGTAAAGTAATTATTAAGACGAGCGGATTACCGATTCAATTTTCGGTTACAATACGATTTAATCACATTTTAGTCCACATTGGATGTTTAGCACTTTAATACGAAAATACCTTTTATTACAGATCGAAAGTTGATCGGAACTGAACCGTAACTCAAGTATTATTACGAGAATGACCGTCTGATGCAAACGTCGGGCATTTCAAAGGGGCATTAATTTCTGTAAACATAATTATATTTTACTGAATAGTAATACTAATGGGTAGTGGTAGGTCTCCTCTATTCACTTCACATCATTGACCCTGACATTTATAGCTTAAAATTGCATAATACTTAAAAACTTTTTTTCTCAGCATCTTAAATCAAATGCCATAAAATCTACCTTTAGATAATGATAGTTTGGAAAAAAATATACCGAGCTCACTACTGTAACTTTAAAGTTATTTATAAATACATTCATTCATGACTTTATCCCTAAAAAAGTAGAAGGAGGCGTAAAACGCTTAAATATTGCCAATTATAATTTTAGTCCCAATACAGATAGGTAAAAAGTATAAATAGACTAAAGAATAGTACAAGTAAGTACACGGGCCCTCATGCCTAAGTCTTCATGCAAAAGACTAAAACGATTTCGATCGATACAGACTTCTGGAACGTTCTACGGTTGGAGTGTGTTGTTATTGTGCACAGTTTGTCGTTCTTTAATGGTTGTTTGTTAAAGCGGAGCGTTCTTCTACTTGAAATTGGACGCATTTACTCTGGATTGATTGATTTGAGTGATTTATATAAAAAGACAACTCCCGCATTAGGAATATATTCTGTGTCGCGGCGGACTTTACAAACATACATGAAACAGACACAAAGAACACCCAGACTCAGAACAACAATTTGTGGATCACACAAAGTGTCGTCCCATGTGGGGTTTGAGCCCACAACACTCGGCGCAGTAGGAAGCGGCTTGGCGACCGCTTAAACCACCAATAAAATTAACTTTAATAGGCGATTGTTTATCTACTTAAGGCGCTAAAGATGTTTTTACAATGACAAAATGGTATACAATGGTATAGTCGTTATGGCGTGATTAAGTAAGAAATATCCATTCAAACCACTAAATCATAAAATACCAAAAAAAATATCGCAAGTAGATCAAAACTTATCGCTAAATTTCATGCCTAACTATAATCAAAAAAGATAGTAATTATCAGAGTGGTGACAGATTAAGAATGCGGGATATTACCAACCCTATTCATCCCATGGGTGTCGTAAGAGCTGACTAAGGGAGAAAAGTCTACAGGATAACGGCGCTTCAAAGAGAATTAAAACGTGACAAACTTTATACCAACTTTTTTCTAAGGAGAGGTATGTCCAGGAGTGGACTATTAAAGGCTGTTGATGATGATGATGGTAATAAACTATTCCTCATAGTAAAAGTAAAGGAAAAAATCTGAAAATCTCTGATTTGTTGTTATATCACATGAAAAGAAAATAGGGACACTATACTTTTATTTTGCGTTTATAAAATTGACTGTTACACAATCGATGTATGAAAAAATATTTTTAGGCCTGAAAAGTTGTCCTGTCGTTTAGAAAAAATCTGGTATATTTTTTTTATAGTTTGCATTTTGACTTAATACTGTCAAGACTAAAATACCATATTTTTAAACTTCGTTCAATGTGCGAAAGTTGTCAAACAAAACACAATTTAAAGGAGTTATAATCACATGATCCATGCCAAATGCAGACGTGATGTCGTTTTATTTATTTATCTTAGACATTAGCAAATTTCTGACCTCACGAATTTAAAAGTTCTAAGTCGTAAAGAATTTAAGGAGCTCAGAGTGCAAGCAATCTGACCTTGAAGTCCTCGACCCGCCATTTTGTGACAGCTTTCGAATTAATGGTCTCGCCTAATGGATGTCGAGACTAGTGCACTTAGATGTTTACGTTATTGATGTATATAGCTATATTAGGGTTCATGTAGAATGAAGTACCTACGGATAAAATTACGAGGATATCTGCATTTTTCTCACAATTTTTGAGAAGTTGACAAAAGGACGATGAAAGCGGAAAATGAACGCGAGGGGTGACGGTACGAAAAAAATTTATATCGATTTTTTTTTATATATTCATAAGAGAAATATTAACTACGGTTTTAGAAAGTAACGATTGTTTCTAAAAAACATTATCTATGGAATTTATCAAGTACTAGTTCCATATAGTAAATTTTAAAGTACAAAGATCAATGTCAGATTGCAGTTTTGAAATTAAATTGGTAGCGGTACATGATCCTCCGGATATTTGTGTTAACATCATATTTTATGACAAATGTCCCATAAAACTCCAAGATATCATAACTTTTTACTGAGCGCTGCGTAAATTATATAATACACATTAAAATATGTTTCATGACCTCCAGATTACATTGGCAGCACTTGAAATATGTTGAAACATTAAAATATATTTAAATATATCAGAAACATGTAAATATTATAACAAAATGTTTTTTTTAATAGTTTTAATGACTTTTGTCGCTTTTTGATACTGCTATTTTACTCCTAATGTGTTAACATTCTAGCTTTTGCCTGTGTTTTCATTGTTTTTTGTTTTTCGGGATGTCCTTTTTATGCCTCTGACAACATGTGCAAAAAACGCAAACTAAGTCATTTTCGTCATTCATCTTTGATATTCACATCACATCACATCAACAGCCTTTAATAGTCCACTGCTGGACACAAGTCTCTTCTTAGAAAGGAGGTTTTAACATTCATCAAGACTTTAATAGTTTTTATTACATTAATATACCTAGTTTGTATGGTATCGTGGTACTGAGTAGGTACTTAATTTTTAGAAAGATGTGGCCGAAGTTCAGCAACTACTAGTTACATTAAAATGGTGGAAACTGAAAATCAATATTGAGGAGGGCCGATAGTCATTCATCGTACCTAGTAAATAATAAGAGTCCTCTTATTGATAGGACATAGCATACAAATCTATATAATACTATTTATATTATATACATTTGTATGCTACGCATACTTATGCATTTTAGTGTCCGTGAGTTGACGGATTAAGAATATAGAGTGACACCACTCCTGTTCATCCCGTAAGTGTAGTGAGAGCTGACTAAGGGAGTGAACTACGCAGTAAACCAGCACTGCAAAGAGAAGGAAAACTTGAAACAAACCCTATAATATTCCGTCTGGCCAACGTAGTATAGTATAGGCTAGAACCTTATTTTTAAGGAGAGGCTTATGTCCAACAGTAAACTTTTAAATTCTGATGATTGCAAGCGATAGATGTAATTTATAGATTTAATAAGGTAAAATTGATAAATATTGCTTGTTTATTGTATAGAGAGCACCTGAGCAGACTGATCACGTGATGGCTCGTGACTGACGCTGCTAATAGATTTTTGCATCTCAACTGTCTCCTGCAGTCACAAGTGCTTTGTGAATGTAAGTGCTATGGTAACTTATCTGCTGATAAACATACTTATATATTTCTAAATACATACATAATATGTATGCATTTGAGAATATTATTATAGATAAAGTACACCTAGACGCAGAACAAATTGGAATCGAACCTACGACCTCTGGAATAACCTGGCTAGAGCAGTTCAATGACTCGAATACAAATATATAATATATCAAAAGGCATAATATAGTTTGATCTTTGAGTAAGTAGTACACACAGTATGTGTATTATTTACATACAAGTTTTGGCATAAATACATCACGGCACGAGTTAGCAGGCCCTGTTGACAATAACTGACTGGGTAATGGGAGTTTTCTTAAGCGATGGCTAGCAGTAGCAGCCTTTTTGAAAATGTAAAACCTTTGAATTCTCGTGTATAAACATAAGTAAATATCATGGAAAATAAAGGAGTGTTTAATGGTCGATTAAGAGTTAAAGTCCAGTAAAAACTGTTTTGATTAATCGCCAGCAATGTATAAAAGGCACTCGTTACTCTTGAAAGAATTCTCATACATTTTTTGGTTCGTTAGAAGCGCTGAAAACAGTTTGTTTTATTCAGCAATATAACAGATTATTTTTTGTTGAACATAACGAGCATTTGTCTAAAGATTATTGTTAATTTTTTTTGAGGAAATTGTAATTTTTGTAGTTCTCTAGTTATTACTTAGTCTCAAAATTCTTTATAATATTTCAATTCCTTTTAAATGTATTAGAATATCCGAAAATTCTAGTATCGCATCTAAGTAAATTTATTTCAAAATCATATGAGAGATACAATTATATTATTAGGTCAGGAATTGTATATCTTTGAATTGCCCAACGTTTCGACCAGAAGGCCAATTTTCGTAATGAAAGTTTGGTCGAAATTCGGTTATGATCCACTCTTGATTTCACAAATGTTATAATAGTAGTTTCATAACATTTGTGAGATCGACAGTAGCACGGAACTGAATTAAGTTTGAATTTTCATTAAGAGAATCGGGGTTCAGGTTTTACATATTGATTTAGTCAGCTTAAGACCAAGTATGTACGAAAGTACTGATGGTGTTAAGTCGAGAACCAAGGTGAGAAGAATAAAACATCATTAAACACGAAAGTTTAGGCTCAAAACCATTATAAAAGTGTTTAAGTTTATCGTGGTACTTCAATCTCTCTTACCTGTAAGCCAAGTGCCATTAAATGGCTTGTAATGTTCGGTGAGCACATCATGTAACGTGGGTCTTCTACCACGGACTCTGCCACCATCTCCGGCCGGTGTGAGGAGCGCTATGCTGAACACAATCAGGCCTAGAACTGCTGCAATCACCAGCAAAGCAATCAAGATGCCCCGCCAGTTACGTTGCGTTGGAGTAGCTGCTGCGAGCTCCTGCGAACAAAAGGAGAAGAAAATTTGGAAAATTGTAGTTTATAAATAGGTTTTTATGTGAGAAAAACAATTAATACAACTCTTATTCTTTCATAAATACGTATGTATAACATGTTTTGTAATTCAGCAACACCACGTTTGCACCACAATGTCTGTTGTGTGCTGATGATTTAAGGGTATTTAGGGACCTTATCAAAATGGATGATTGTTTAGCCCTTCATCAAGATGTTAATACAATATCTGAGTGATGTAAAGCCAATTTGATGTCCTTAAATTTTAATAAGTGTTTTTAATGTCATTTACTCTAAAACGTAATAAACTTATTTGGAACTATAATATTGATCTTCAAATAATAATAGAATAGAATAGAATAGAATAGAATAATCTTTATTGTACACTAATTCAGGATATTATACATACAATAGTATTCAAGGTTAATGACCATGTACAAATGGCGGCCTTATCGCTAAAAAGCAATATCTTACAGGCAACCTTTGGATGGACAAATAGACTGTAAATAGGTAATTTCATGGGCAGATTTGGTGAGAAAAAGTGTAAAGGAAACTAAAAACAAAAAGAATAATATTTATACAGCACAACAGCATTCCTTTGACAATTACAAAACAAAGTAGTGTCAATTGTATACAGCAGTCAGTCCCAGCAATACCTACTTATATAAATACAAGTAAATACTAACTATAAGGATTATATAATACATAAACAAATACATAAACTCTACCATCTATCAGTCACTCAGTCAATAAATAAGTCACAGAATGTAAAATACTTAGAAATCATTTTTAAAGACAAGCATTTTGCGCTCATTATAGCAATATAATATGTAAAGCCAACTTCAAGGCATTGTTTTGAGACCAACAAAAGGTTTTAGAAATCCCAGCAGTACTTTGTACCTATACTTTGCCCTGGTGAGGAGTATATTAGAATATGGTAGCCCCATTTGGTCGCCCTATTGATGATATTGAACGTATTCAGGGAAGATTACTTAAAATTCTCGACTACCGAGAAAGCCCTGGTCGGTCAAATTTAAATTACGATAGCAGGTCAGCAAATATAAGGTTCGCCATTAGAAACCCGACGCACTAATGTCGATTTGGTTTATTTGTAAAACTATACATTATATTATTGATTCACCGGAGTTACTTTCTCTGCTTTAAGAATTTCAATACTAAATTTAGTGCCCGTAGGGATGATAAGGTAGGTAATGATACTGTTATATCTAATGTTCCTAAAAGTACATAGGTTACCCCTATCCTCGTCGTATGGATCGTGCAGCCCAAAGTTGACGTGTCAGCACTTTTGCCAATGCACCAGTCCTATGTCCGCATCCATCATCCGTCGCGTGTACTCGTCCTAATATATTTCGCATGTGCCAATTAAACATATTTAATGTGTAAAAGTGATGTTTCTTTTAACATTATAATCGTTCAAGTTCTTTAAGTGTTTTTTTAAAACCACCTCAAAACTGGCCAGCGTAACAATACGAATATATTTGCCAAGAATTTGACAAGAATGGCCCGTCAATATAATGATATCTCAAAAATCAATAAATTACTAGACGTTTTTGGTCATAACTATAACAGATATAGTAAATTAGTAAAAGATATCCTCCATTGACAGTGAGTTGGGTTTGGATTAGCATCCAAATCTACATCACATTACCTGATTGTTTACTTTGTCACTCATTGTCATATTACTTACAATGTTATGAATCTGAGATATTTTTTGTGTAATCTTTATTGTTTTTTCTTTGCGTTCATATGAGTTACGTTACGATCCAGATCTAAACGATTTGTTTATGATTTATATTTTAATTGGTTCTGATGTGTTTAGTGCATTTATTAAACAAAACAAAAATGATCACAATATCAAGAAAATGAGGATAATATAAAAAGAGCCATATTAAAGGGAAACTAGTTACCTAGTTACTTTAGTTCGACTTTTTGGCATGACAAAGACATAATTACCGTTTGCATCTTGTAATCCGGTTGATAAATTAGTGGTTTACAGAAAGCCTTATTTTGTTTACTTAATAAAGAAAGAAAAACATTTATTATTGACAACAAAAGAAAGGTTCATACATAATAACATTATTATTTCTCAATTTTTCTTGTTGTCTTATTAACATTAATAAGAATTAACAGCTTCTCTTGTCAACCCATATCATTAGTTTTCACAGCTTTCGATTTAAAAAATCGTGATAGTATTCTCCTCCATATCACCCAATACATGACAACCTTATTCGATAACTTTGTACCACAATGTAATATTTGTGAGCGTCCCAAACAAACAAAGCTGTAGGTAGAGAGGAATATTGAGGCAGAACATTTTGTATAAAGTTTGAACAGCCATGTCGTGTACTTCAAATAAAAGTTTATATTTAGAGCATTATGTTGAGGTATCTACTTGAGGTATCTGAGTAAAGTTATAGCGGTTCTTATTAAATATCTAAACTTGAACTTGTTGCGCCATAGGATTAAATGGTTCGATTGTTCCAGAATTGTATGGAATGTGGAGGACAGCGCCATCTAGTATCGAGTAAAGTACAACTATTGAGATTGTGAATAATAATTCTGATATTTTACAGCGCTAGATGGCGCTGCAAGTAACGCTCAATCGATACTGTAATATTCTTATTTGTATGGAACGGACTATCTAATACTAGGGATCTTTCTAGTAAATTCGATAGCGCTATAAAAGCGGAGCGTGTTGGTCGTTCGATACAGTATCATTATACGACACATCGAATTAACATCGAAGTGAATTTCTAGTGCGACTAACGAGTTATATAGTGAATTCTAGTTTATTATAGTGAGTGTTTGTAAATACAGTGAAATAAAGTAATTAACCGACAACTTTTATTTATTATATACCCCGCTCGAAACAATATATTCGAGAAGATGATAGGTTTTTAGAAGTAAAAATCAAAGTATTGAAGAGTCAAGCAATAAAATAACTTAAAATATTGTAAAACCTTTCGTCTTTAACATAATTTTACTTCTTTGTCAAGGATCTTCACAAACAAGATCAGTTACATAAGCCACATGAGAGCACACGAACGACGACAGTAGTTGCGGAATGCAGTCGCCATTGACGAAAACGGTCGGGTCACCATCAGCATCATCATCATCAATTTTACTTATAAATTATTGTTTTCTGATGGGTAAAGAAAGGCGAAGACTAACTAGGTATTTTATACTTTTTTTATTAGAAAAAGACAACGCCCGCATTAGAAAAATATCCTATGTCGCAGGAGACTTTACAAACATACATAAAACGGACACAAAGAACACCCAGACTCAGAAAAACAATTTGTGGATCACACAAAGTGTCGTCCCATGTGGGGATAGGACCAACAAAACTCAGCGTAGTAGTAAACCGGGTGGCGACCGTTTAAACCACTACGCCATCCGTGCAGTCATATATTTTTGTCAGTGCAGTAATTCTAACCAACCCTGTCCGAGTGGTGACGGATTAAGAATACGAAGTGTCACCACCTATTCATCCCATGGGTGTCGTAAGAGGCGACTAAGGGAGCAAACTACGCAGGACAACAGCACTGCACTGTAAAGAGAAGGAAAACTTGACACAAAACCCTAATCAAACCGTCTGGCCAGCGTGGTATAGTAGGCCAAAACCTCCTTTCTAAGGAGAGGCCTATGTCCGGCAGTGGACTACCTTTAGTTATTGATGATGAAACGGACCTACAATTTACCTGTTTAATAAACGATGCATTGATTGGACTTGAAAGTAATTTACTCTATTGAAAGGCTGATCCAATATTCTAGCATAATCTAGCGTAGATCAGCTCAACTACGTACTAACTAGATCTGTATTACGCAATAAAAGTGTTCACTGTTTAAATAATACATAACTTCGCAATATGAATTTCTTTTGGTCAGCGGATCTTTAGACACAGTTTTCACTACATACTAACAAACCAAAAGCCTGAACTAATCCACCCTTTTCAGCTTTCATTCGTTCGCTTAAATAATAAAGAAGTACCTCCATACGTACAGTAGAACACATCTTTTTATAAATAATGCATGAGGCCGCAACTTTATTTATATTCATAACTATCTTGTCAAAGAAAATTACGCCGGTACAGCTTTGAAAATCTGTGATGCGTAAAAGGCTTAATTTTAAACCGCGGCTGCCGAAACGAGACATGCGTCACGCTAATGACCTCATCAAGGATATCGCTGTAGTAACTCTTCTACGTAGACTTGCAGCCATGTTAAGTACTAGTATTTATCCGCACTTCGCTCGTGTGAACGTAATGATTTTTACAGTATTTTTCCTTTATCTATGTGTGTGTGTGTAATACAACATGTAAACGTGTATTTAAAACGTCATATTATGATTTACTAAGTACATACTTAAGATGAAAATGTTAAGAAAAAGTTCCTTAAATCACTTAATTACCGAATAAACATTTATCATGAATCGTATGAAGATGCATTGCGTAGGCATAATTTAGTAACTCTTTACAATAGACATTATAGTTATATTTGAAAGTATAAGTGTGTAGTGTAATTCTGTTTTCATTAAGTAAATCTTGTTATACGTGTCCTTCAAATTAAGAGTTAAAATTTTATTGTTACTGAAATCATCTATTCGGCACCATAAATGTACTATAGATCAGATATCCGACTCTATGTAAAGAGACATATATTTATAAGTATTACTAACTTATAACATATTTATAAGTATTATAACTGTATATAACTGTTTGTTGCCACAATAAAGGCATAAAAATAAATTTTAAAAACACATTTTTGTTTTACTTTTTTATTTATTTAGGAAGCTTACCATGCTTGCCCATTTACCACCTTAATTTGACTGGAAATATACATTATTACTTGCATACTTAACTCTTATTAATTCAATATGAAAGTCGTCTCTGCAGTTGAAAATAATAATGAACTAGATCCGTCATTACAAAAGAACTAATGGAAGAACAGGCTACCGTCAGCAAGAGCGGAACGTTATTAATATTAAAACTTCCAAACTTTGTACTTCAACTTTTGAAATTGGTTGGAGTGAATGCCATTTGGCATCGCGCTTGAAACCTGACAATTTATACGAAAAAGTTTGAATTTGAAACAAAATATAACATTTTTTTTAAATATAAAATTAAATGGTTCTTTTTATCTCAACCAAGTGTAAAATGTTTCGAATGGTACCTGAAAATGTTGTTTTAATGATTAAAGCCACCGCAAAACTACTGAAAAGAAATGGATAACACATAATGCTGTATCTACATGCTACGATCTGTAACCAACGTTTCCAAATGGTTGTGCCTTGTGCAAAGGTATCAGGAAAACTGATCTTTAGATTTTATCGGAAGAGGAGGATAGGCTTAGCAAAGGGCTAGGGTTTTTGGCATCGGTATAAATATTCACCATTAAACGGGCGGTGCGTGTACTCGTAAAATTCTTCGTCTAGCACTTTTTTATACAAATTCTTGAAAAAACAAAGAACCCGACTGCATGAAAATATAAAGGTACTTCTTATTTTTATATACTGATTGTCACTCTCACAATTAAAACGAAACTAATGACATATCAAGAGCCAAATTCCATCAACTTGTTTAGTCTACAGAGCGTGCCAAAAAAATATACGTGTATACATACACACATACACATGGTAAATATAGAATAGAATAGAATATGCGTTATTGTACACCAATTATGTTACGATCGATAAATATTACGGACGGATATGTATGGATATGTTATTGCTCATTGCGACAAATATCTTGCGACAAAATTTCATAAAAAAATTAGGATTATTTCAAATCGTCTCTCGTGTAAACTCTAAAGTCATAGATCAACAAACACAATAGCAACAATCTCTGTTTTATCAAATATTTAGCAATCTAAATATATACGAATATAGAGAAGAAAGGACAAACAAACTCACAGCCACTCTTTTTTAATCAACAGATACATGCAATGGCATCATTAAATATACACAACATTGTTTTGTTGTGTGCCAGTATGTAAGTTTTAAGGACTAAAAGGTATAAAAGCAATGAACTTTCTCTTCAAGACATACTAATAATAATTGCATCCTACTGTGCGCTTTTCGAGACACTTTTTGTCCCGCACAACCAATCTGTGAAACATGTTATCGTCTGCGGTATTTCCGGACCGATACGACCTTCAAACCTTCAAGAAAAGAGCGTACTCCTTCCTAAAAGGCCGGCAACGCGTTTGTGACTCCTGAGTTGCAGACGTTTATGGGCGGCGATAGTCACTTTCCATCAGGTGACCCGTCTGCTCGCCTGCCCCCTCTAACATAAAAAAATAAATACAAAAGAAAGGAAAGTAAAGTAAAGTAAAAAATGGAAAATTAAATAAAAGACACACTAGCCCACATCACATTTCCACTACGAAATAGCCTGTGCTGAATTAATCACAAGCATAATGCTACAATATATAATATAATATATACAATACATATTGATAACCATGAAATTATTTAATCATGTACAGCTATTGAAAGCAAAGAGTAGAAGAGTAAAGTACTGTCCAAGTAGTGATCTTGGAACGTATTCTTAAATGCTGTCTGTGTTTGGGCAGGTCTTATGAAAATCGGCAAGGCGTTCCATGATCTAACAACCGTGAAAGATTTGTCATAGAATATGGTAGTGTGGCTAGGTACCATTAGTTCCAAAGATTCCGACGACCTTAAGGATCTGATCGGATCGGAATATAATTTTTCTTCAAGCGTAGTCGGGTAAAAATTTTGGAGTAAAATATGAACACTAGATCTATGAGTTTTAAAGAATACATGATTTTAATATGGGAATTAGTTATTGCCAAGCAATATTATTATGTCTAATGCTATTAAAAAAGAATGAAAAATTACTAGAATGATTAGCAGTCATTCTAGTAATTTTTCACTATTTTTTTGATTGATGATTGATTGATTGTATAAAACTGATAAATTTATTGGAAAATATTTTCAT